TCTTCCGACTGCAGTGCACGTGCCAAATTCTACTCTTCCTGCTGGCTTAAAATTCGAGGTGTCTACTCTGAAGTTGGCACACCTACTCCAGGTGTATGTCTCCATAGATAAGGCATTGTAAAGAGTAAATGAAACCTCCTTCTAGAGTAAGGAGAAGGAATAGGAACAAAACAACCACTGTCTGGGATAAACCATCCACCTCCCTTTAATTTCTTATGTTCTGCCCTGCTGATGCATTGTGGGCCTGATTTTCTTCTTTAGGGTTCACAGTGGTGGCACAGAAGAGGGAAACACGGATCTTTTCACAGGGTCTGCAGGTAAAATGTTTCTCAAGTGCCTAAACTGACTCAGAGATGAGAATCCCAGGTTTGAATGTGGCTGAGGGATAGAAGATCTTGAGGTTACGTTTAGACAGCATCTGTTGGAAGTGGCTGCCAGTGTAACTTCTTGTGTCTGGTCAGACCCAGCCATAGTGTGTGTGCTGGAATTGTATCTGCCAGCTCCAGGGAAGACTTAGGTAATGTTTTGTGGAGAAACAGTAGATTCCGATTGAAAGAGAAAATCCAATGTAACTAGGCTGCTGGCCTTGGGTAGAAAGTACCACAGTATCATGCTTTCATGCCTGAGGAGCTTCTGAAAAGACATATTAAGTTCTGCAGTCATACGGGCTTTTTACAAAAATATCTGCTTTTCATATCTAAAAGGAAGAGAGGATGGCAAGGAGATGCTGAAAAAGTGTGATCGATGCTATGAATAAATAGATCTTCCCAAAGATAGCCAGTACGTGGAATTTTTTTGAAGGATAAAAGGATTAAAAAACACGTCAGAAATTTTTGTGGCAGGGTGTTTATGGGGGAACCTGTGAAAGACTAAGCTAGGCACACACATACTCTGCTTGGTGCAGAAGGTGAACGTGCTCCATTTGTTTGTTGCTCACTTTTGGTGTAAGTCTCTCCCTATGTTTTCAGCAGCATGTCGTGAGTTGTATTGAGTAGGTTTTTACATGAAGAAGATTCCTTTGAAAGTAAATTGTGTGACTACTCCCTCCTCCTCTTAAATTGAGCTAAATTACAGCTAAATATTTTGTGAATGTGCTTAGGAAGCGTTTTATGTACAGAGGAAAAAAAGGACTTTGAACTCACAAATCTTTCCTTGGAAAGTACATCCAAAATGAAACTTTATTCCCTTTGGGTAATCATAGTGCAAGTAGCTGGCTTTATTGTCTGGTGATAGCTGGTCTTTCTTGTATAAACAGAATTGTTAAGATTTCCTTTGAGTCCCATGAATTTTCAATTTTTTATATAAACTAGAGATATAGGGCCCAATTTAATACTGAACAACAAATAGCTTTTAAAAATAAAGTCCACGATCCTGCATCGCTAGTGCTGGTCTCGGATATAACTCTTTGTATTCTGCCTTCGAATTTGTTCGACCTAGTACTGAAAGAAGTTCAAGGAGGTTTTTTGCCTTGATCTTGGGCAGCTCCAGCACCCTTTTGCTATGGCATATAAGGTGAGGTACCTCATTTGTACAAGGACAGGGTTTGGTGGCACAACTAAACAGGAATTGAGAGGCTTCCCGAGCCAGACATTATATCTAGTCCTTGTCTAGCCAAAGATTTTTTTGGCATTATTATGTTTAATAGCATATGATAGACTTTTCTTCTGCAAATTTCTAATTGCCTCTGAAAGACTTCTGGTGTCCAAAGCACCCCATGGCAATGAATTCTACCATTTGTTCCACAAGAATGGACTTCCTTTTGCTTTTAACTCGTGCCTAGTAACTTCTCTTGGTGGCTGCTAGTTTTTGCATTACAAAATACATCCCGGTTCGCTTAAATGCCACACGTGATTCTGTCTACCTCCCTCATATTCCCCCTTAATCTGTTTTCAAATCTGAAGAAGTCCCAACTATTTAGTTTGAGGAAGCCATTCTAGACGTACGATGACTTGTTCTGCCTGTAGCTTTTTTTCTTCCTTCACCATATCGTTTTCGAGATGGGAAGGCCAAAACTGTGCACAGTATTTAATGAGTGGGTTTACTGCAGAGTTCTGCAGGAGCACAGTGATGTTTTCTGTTTGGCTTTCTATTACTTTCCTTCCTCCTAACATACTATTCAGTTTTTAACAACTACTGAGCACTCAACTGACACCTCGAGAAAACTATCAGCTGTGACCCCAAGGTCTCGTCACCGAATGGCAATAGCAAATTGGGAGCCTGTCAGTAAGTGTGTATAGATAGAGTTGTTTTTCCTAAGTACATCACTTTGCATTTATCAACATTGGATTTCATTTGCCATTTTATCACTCAGCCACTCGGTATTGCGAGATTGTTGTGCTTCCCTTCACAGACAGGTTTTGTTCTAATTATCCTGAATAACTTTGTGTTGTAAACACACACTTTGTCTCCTCTGCAGTCCATTTATGAATAGATTAGGTCCCCGTAAGGTCCCGCTGGTGAAATCTGAACACTGATTCCTGGGCAGGTGAGTCCCACATCTAACCTGTTAGTGTACGAGGCAGTTTTCCGTTTGCTTCAAGACAAATCAGTTTTCAAAGTAATGTTTTCTGAGAGGCCTTTTTATGAACATTTTGGAAATCCAAATATTCTGTTCTCTTCCAGACTGTTCTTACCTATAGACTTCTTCAGGGACCTCTTCACAGTGTGTTAGAGGCGTTCACTAGCTCTGCTATTTATTACAGTGTCTAGTAGTTTGCCCCACAGAGAAGTCAGATTTAGTGAGCTGTAGTGCCTGAAATCCCTTCCGGATCTCATTTTAAAAGCTGATGTCACATTTGTCATCTTCTAATCCCCTGATAGCCTGACTATATAGGGCATGTCCCCTCCAAAT